GCCCGCGGCTATGTCATGCCGGGTAAGAACCTGACAGTTCTCGTGCCCGGTCAGATGAACGATCAGCCAACGTCGCAAGCCTTTTCTCAAATACTTTGGTTTTAGAAGCATAAGAAAGAAAATTTGTCATGGTCTGAGTCCGTTTGATATCGAGGATCAATCTTTGCAAAAATTCCTGTTCGGCTCTTCGTCGGGCAAGCCGAGGAACAGAAACCATGAAAGATCTACGGGTTATCGTCGTCGGAGCCGGCATAGGCGGCCTTTCGTCGGCGTTGGCACTTGCCATGGACGGCCACCAAGTCACCGTGCTAGAAGGGGTCAAAGAATTTCTCGAGGTATGAGTTGACCAACTTCTTTGATCTTTAACAGGGCTCATATGTTCGACCAGGTTGGAGCTGGAATCCGTGTCCCTCCAAACTCGTCACGCCTGAGTCGTAGTTGGGGCGTTGATTTTAGCAAAATCAAGAAGGAGAAGGCTGGCGGGATTCGCTTCTTGGACTGGACCGGCAAGGTGATAAAGGATGTTCCATACGACGACGTGGAGGTAAAGTATGGGGCGCCATACTATTTCATCCACCGGGCAGACCTGATCGACCTGCTCGCCGAGACGGCATCCCAGCGGAAGAACATCACCTTGAAAATGAACAGCCGAGTCAAAGACTACGACTTTGAAACGCCTGCAGTGATGTTGGCCTCGGGTGAGCGGCTCACAGCGGACCTGATTATCTGTGCCGATGGCATAAAGTCTGCTGTCCGCAATACAATCAATGGAACGCCAATAGAGCCTCAAGATACCGGTGACGTCGCATACCGAGTGTTGGTGCCTGCCGAGCCGCTTTTGAACGACCCGGAAACGCGCCATCTGTTTGATAACGCGTGGGCGATGCATTGGCTTGGCCCTGAGGCACATGCGGTCGGTTACCCTTTGCGAGGCGGCGAGCTCTACAACATCATTATCGACATAACTCACGCGACCGATGTCGGCAAACCCATCGGCGACGAAGAATGGCGGTCTCAAGCCGACAACACCGAATTGGTGAAGCGCTTCGCGGATTGGTGTGCCCCCGTACGGAAACTCTGCGGACTCACAGGCTCGTACCTCAAATGGAAGCTTGCCGACTTCGACCACTTGCAAAGATGGGTGCATCCGAGCGGGAAGGTCGCAATCCTCGGCGACGCCTGCCACCCGATGATGCCGTACATGGCGCAAGGAGCGGCGCAGGCCACCGAAGACGCCGCCACCCTGCAAGCTGCCCTCCGGGAGTACGACGACCTCCACGAAGCGTTGAAGGCGTACGAGAGGCAAAGGCTGCCGCGGGCCACGCACGTGGCAAAAAATACCCGCATATTACAGTCCTGGTGGCACCTCTACGACGGAGCCGAAAAGGACAGACGCGACGAGCTGATGCAGCACGACAACCTTGACAATCCCATGTTCTGGGCGAACTCCCAAAGAAGAGACTGGCTGTTCGGCCACGACGCACTGAGGCTTCAGACGGAAGATGAACTGAGACCGCCGCACTTGGCCCCTACGCCTGCCAAGGGGTCAGGTGTATACAACGGCGAGATTACAGACACGGACCTTCGACGAAAATTTAGAGCCATGCGTCAGCGCAATTAGCCAGATTCCCAAAGAGCATCATCTGAAACAATGAAAGATCTGGAAATCCTGAAAATCCTGCTTCCATGGTTCCCATCTCTTGAAAGCGTTGATTTCGAATACTCAAGTCGAAAAGCTGAATTCCCCCCATCCAACACCTGCCAATGCTGACATGTGTGAAGGCTGATGATTTCATGACGTGCATCTGCAGCTGATGTGCTTGGCTACTGACAGACCCCTTACGCGACTCTGGCTGAGGCCTTGCAGCGAGGATGACAGATTGACAGTCATTGAAGTCGGGCATGAAAATTGTGGGTATTATGCTGTCGTTCAGAAGGTCGGCCACGAAATCCAAGTTCGTGGAAACGAGCGAATTAGATCTTGCATTGGAGAAAGAGACCCGTATGTGCTATCAGGACTTTCCAAAACAGCAAACCTGCGCACTCTACCCTGCTAAGCTTCAGAAACTCGCAAAGATGACCAGGTTGTGTGGTGCATCGTTGGTAAAGGGGGAAGCATCGGCCTCTGATTTAGCAGCTCGCTACCTCTTGGCTATTCCTTCTTCCTATTCCGCATTCAACTTTTTCCTAGCTAACTACAACTTTGCTGGTATGCCTCGTAAGTTTGTGCCCGGCGAGACGGGCCCGGCGCAATATTGAAGCCCATTCACGGTACGATGGAGTATCGTTTGAGCTCCTGTTTGACAACGGTATAGGATATTACCCATTTTTAGCTGCACATCATCTCAGTTCAGGGAGCAATGGGTGACGGCTGTCGGTGGACTAGCACCTGAGTGTATTTTTCGCTGTGCCTTTCCCTCCGTTTTCATTATGGCTCTCGCGAACGTTTCTGCACTCCGTTCAGGAAAGGCATCCAAGAGGTGAGGCGGTCATTGGGGGCATTGGGATGTCCCCTCACCCTAAATATGGCCTCGTTCGAAGAAAACAGGTGTCTAAAGATGTCCTGCACCTTATACAAGAGAGCAGAAAGTGCTGCTAAATAGGTCACATTGGACTGGGAAAGGACTCAACTCCGCTTCCACTCCCTGTGTCTTTGTTTGCCGCCAACCCGAATTTTGCAGTCGAATACTTGTGGATGTTGCACGGCAAGTACAACACGGCTTGTTCACGGAGCTCGACTTCCAGCAATCTGAAGCGGTAGTTGGGGGCAATTATGACACGAGGGTGTTACCGACAAACCGCCGAGCAAACAGAGCATGTCTCGAACTTTTCACTCATCAACCGGTTTTCAGAGCTGTATCACTCCTAAAGGTAACACGCGCGCTCTTTCTCCACTGACGCATTTGCTTGTCCCCCGTTCCACAAGGGCAAACATACGGTGGAAAGCAGCAAGTGATATCCCCAAACAGCCAGCCTCCTCATCTGGAAGGCACGCGCGTTGGGAAATGGTACGGCAACCGGGCATAAAAGAACATGGGCAGCGCTCCATCCAAGACGAAACACGAGCCGAGAGGCCCCGACTGGCGCTTCCGACGGCGGTCCAGCCAGCAGCAACACCAGCAGCGGGGGCATCGTCGTCGCTCACGAGGAGAATCTCGGCGCTGGAGTGACCCTTCTCCATCGGGTCATCACCACTGTCAGCGCTCGGCGACTTCCTCATCCCCAACGCCGTACGAATCAAATAGGCCCCAAATGCCCACACAGATCGATGGATATCGACTGCCGAGAAGACGCTCAGAGTCTGAATCTTTCAAGCCGCTTTGGCGGCACCCGCAACGCGAGGCTCCTAGGCGACAATACGAAGAAACTCCACCACGCTCTCATGAGGAACCAGAAATCAATGATCTGAATTCTTCTTCAAAAGTCTGGCCGGGGCGTATGCTGCCTCACGCTCCCATCCCTCCGAACTGGGATCCTCGCTTCTACGCAGGTGTGCCAAGCAGCCCACCTGAGGAGGATTTGCGCCATACACAACGCCAAAGAAGATTCAACCGAAGATACAGATATGAGTGGCATCAGTCTCCTGCTGCTGGGAGGGACAGGGGCGGAGAGAAGATATATGTCAACCCGCGTGATCCATACTGGTCCGGGGTGCGCGTGGTGCTGTTTGAGCCGCATCTTCACCGTCGACTGGAGGCGGAGCATGTACTTCATCAGCCAGATTCGTCAGAACGACTCTACGCAAGAGATGGACCACACGTTCACGTCGGCCACTTGACAGCTACATTTATGAGGAGAGGAATTCCTTGTGCACGAGAGCGTTGAACGTGTCGTGTGTGTCTTTTCTCTCACTCTCGCCAAGATCGCATCATACCCAACAAACGGCCTCTTTCGTTAAATGCAGACGATACCTTCAAACGACGTCGATCCAAACACGCCATTCTCGTTTTCGGTTGAATAGTTCGTTTTCCTTTCACTCAGATGGCTCCTCTTTCTTCACAGTGGAAAGGGCAGAGCCTCTCGCTCTCCTCGAGCGTATAGCAACATGGTTCGCCATTCTCCGTTATCCTTTAGAGAGTCCGACATCTGCTACCGCTGACAGCTCAACGAGGCTGTTATTCTATCTCGACCGCGACGGGTTTGTCCAATCCTTCGCGCTGGAGGAGGTGCTAATCTCCTCTTATAAAAATACCTACTTCCCGAACTCGTTAGGCTCAGCATGTCTCACTACTCCGACTCATTCCTGCTTCGAGCGCCCGCAGCATGTTAATACGACGCTAGACGGCGTCCAAAACTGAGCGAACAGTGGCTGGACGGCCGTAGATGTACAGCTCGAGCGGGTCGCGAACGGTGGTCTATAACCGTGTGAGGAGCGAGGAAGTATAGAACGAGTGGGCCTCTAACACTCGAGGAATGCAGTCTAAGCAGCGGGCAACACTCGACTCAATTTCAGATACACTTATGGGACCATGTCATGTCCCGTCCATCGCTATCTCACCAAATTCTTGGCTCCAAAAGAGAGTCCCTTTGTCTGAGCGTTGCCAGAAATGCACATGACATACAACCACTCCTCGATCTATCAAGTTGACTCTCTTGGAGAGTGACGGGAACCCTCACTCGGTTTTTGTCACTTCCATAGTGATCACGAAATGCCGCGAGCCATTTCGGCAGTGGCAGTCATTCACTTGACCATCGACTATAATCAACGACTTAACACAGTGAACGCGACTGGGTGTCACTCCAGAATCGTATAAGTGTTTCCACCACCCCTCCCCAGCTCTTTTTTCCCTCGAACTATCTCATGCGACCTACATCTCACTTTCCAAGGTTGCTGGGAGAAAGTCGAAAGGCCTGATTCAGACATCCCATTTCCACACTTCCATTCGACGATATTGAAGAAACTTTCATCGACGCCATGCGTTCAAGACCCCTCATTATAGAAAGAAAGGAAAAGAAAAGGCAAACCCGTCATGGGAAATAGTCATTCTTCCCCTCCTCACATGACAGCCCGAGATCTCGAGCGCTGGCACCACGAAGGCCGGCCGGTTATGATCGAACAGACTCGGCGCCGACGAAGTCCAGGCGGCCATTATCACGACGAGCGTCGACATCGATGGATCGAGCGAGATGACGACCGCCACCGCGGAGGCAGGTCAGGGACGAGGGGTCATCATCGCGACACATCGCCTTCGTTCCTGTTCGGGGGGAGAGCTGGAAGACAAGCCAATGGTGGTTTCTTTGCGGCGGGCAGACGGCCAGGCGGATTCTATCATGATCCCATGTTCGGCGCGGACCGCCCTCGGGGATCCGAACGCGGGTCCACGCTTCGCTTTCGGGAGAGGTCCAGCGGTCGCGGAGGAGTTTGGGTTCCACCGATTCCCGCCGCCACCGTCAAGTCATCATCCCCCTCCTCCCCGACGTCCTCCCGGGCCTCCGCCCTCGTTCGGCTTCCGCGGCCCTTGGGGCGATATCCCACCGCCTGCCCCATCCCCTCCTCCGGCTGTTCGATCTTGGAGAATGCGTTCCCTGTCCGACCATCCGAGAGCAGGAGGACCGCACATGTCAGGCGGCTCGGGGCGAGGAGACCCGTCGGAGGCGCGCGACCACCGGAAAGGACCCGCATCGGGTTCAGGCCCGAGTACCTGTTGGAGGATGGTAGGGTTGATGATTGATGGAGCGACAGGACAGACTACCTCGGGCAGAGAAGGATTTTGAGTTTGAAGTGGATGAATGGGGAATTTACCGGTACGAACATCTTAGCGGCGGCTTGGGCTTGCTCGTTCAGTTCTGGCGTGAACTCTGTCCCTACATACTCCATCGTCACCCAGGCAGGATCAAGACGCGCAAAGGACATTTGGTAGATACGAGGCCTCAGGGTAGGGGCCAAGTGGAGAGTGACGTTCAAGGCATCTGTTTTCTTCTCGTCTCATGAAAGTAATATCGCTATCTTGTCATTGTCGAAGTCATATCATCGTAGCCAAAGCGGCTGGTCTGGTCATATGCAATCATCTCTGGAAAACACACGCCAAATGATCAAAATGTGTAAGAATGTCGAGTGGAATGCCCTGTCCGCATCCACGACCGTGAGACCCAGTTTATCACCGAAATGATCGATCTCGCGATGCTCGCCCGCAAGACAATGTATTCATTCCCTTGGTTGCAGTGCAGACCACAACTTTCACAACTTCGTCACCCAGTCTCTGCCCGGGGAACACCCATGTGCGAGGGTGGAGGAGTCGGGACAAAGGCGGGTGGTGGGTGGGTGACAGCTCCATAAGGGTTGTCGTCTGTGTAGTGGACGGCTGCGTCAGGTCCGAACGATGCCCCGGGCGGAGGAGGAAATGCCGGATACTGTTGACTGTATGTTGCCAAGTTCGGCATGCTTCCCGTGAAACCGCTGTCGGCATAATTATGAGCTGCTATCATGCTCATCTTTCTTCTCCTTGCTTCTCGCTTGAGTCGGTGTCTCTCACGTTTCTCCTTCTCCTCCTTTACCTCCTTCTGTTGCTCATGCATCTCCTGCCACTCGCTGTAGGCGCCCTTAAGACCAAGAGCAGCGATGCCAATGCTTGCAGCATCTTGCAACCTGTTCTTGTTCTTTGATCTCCTCGCTTGATCTTCAGTAATATCGCCCTGCTTTAATAATTTTTTTCTCGTTTCTCGCTTCTCCATACTCTGGTAAACACTGTGCGCGGCATGGATGGTCGCGACGGTCGCAAGACCTCCGGTGATCCACATTTTCTTGCGACCTTTCTTTATCTCTTTCTCATCTTCGGAACTGGAGCCGAGGTCAGAATCGGAGTCTGTTTCTGGGTCACCAGTATGACGTGGGCCGTAGTCGAGCTCATAGCCAGGAGGCGGCCCCCTGGGTACGCTCATGGAACGGGGACCGCCATCCGGATAATCAAACTGGGGTTGAATGGTACCTACATCTCGGGAATCACTGTACCCATATCCTCCATTTCGACTTGATCGACCATCATCATAGTAGTCGTCATAATTTCGGCGGCGATCGCGTTCGCGGTTGGGGTCGACCTTGTCCGCCGCGTCTTTCAGTCCCAATGCCGCAAGACCCTTGGCTGCAAAGGCCGACACACTTCGACTCCGCTTGCGCCGAGGACTTGGGCTACGGCTGTCGTACGACGAGGCGCTCCGAGAGCGAGCGCGACCGCGAGATCGAGAGCGAACTGAATCATAGACTTTCTTTGCGGTGGCTGCCACGACGCCACCGGCGGCAAGATCTCCCAACCCGCCTCGAGATTGACTCCGCCCTCGACGACTGTCTGGGCTTCCGTTTCTGCCACGGGACTTTGACCGAGGTCCATTGATGATGCGGTTGGTCGCCATACCGGCTATAGCAGAGCCCAAAATGTCGCGCTTCGAGTGGTGATGGGGATCGTCCTTGTTGGATATCAGGCCATCAACACCTCCCGCCGCCAAAGCTGCGGTAATGATTCGTTTGCCTTTTTCGCCGCCCCAACCGCCTTCGACTTTGCGAGCACGGAACGCCTCACCAGCTCCAGCCAAAACGGCAGCCTTGATGGCTTGGGAGATTTGTTCGTTTCGAACTTTGCCACGGCTCTTGCTTCGGTGTCGAGATCGGTCCGAGGATGACCGGCGACCAGCTCGGCTCCGGCTTCGATGACGACCATCGCGGGAACTAGATCTGGACCGGTCACGGCTCTTGCTCTTCCCCAGTAAGGCACCGGCAACGCCTCCCAGACCAACGGATCCCAACAGCTCTTCAGCGGTGGACTTCCTCCGTTCTTTCTTTGGAGGTGTCCGGCTGCGGCTGCGGGATTCATAGTCTGACGAGTAGCGTCGGGAGCGGCCTGCTATAGATTAGTTACTGAGGGGACAATAGACCAAGAAGGCAGATGCTTACGTCGGTCATCATAGTCACGACTTCGGCCTTTGGGATTGTCGACAACGACATAGTCATCCTCGTACTTTTTTCGCGAAACGTACGAGCGGTCATCGTAACGATCATCGTAATAGCGATCGTCGGAGGATCTTGCACGCATGGGGCGATGACCGCTCTTGCGCACAGTGGTTTCACGATATATGGTGCCGCGATCGCCGGGGGCGAAGTCGCGGGACACTTCCTCAATGGAATCCACGCTGTCGTCGCGCCTCTTGACTATACGAGTGTCTCTCGTGTTGTTGTCGTAGACAGTGTCTTCATAGTCATCTCTTCGAGATCGCTCTCGTGTGCTTTTCTGGCGGCGAGGCCGGTCATCGTCGTAATAGGACATGGTCACTGCGGGCGGGGTAACAGAAGGAAGGAGGGGGGGCAAGTAAAACTGAATTGACAAGGTGATTTATAGCCCAGAAGAAAGACTGGAGCCACGAAAAGGGGTCGGGTCGTGGTGAATTCGATGGCGGCAATCCCAACTCCGTGGTAGTAGGAGCGATTCGAGGTGGAATGTGAAAAGGATGCGATGGCGAAGAGGGCGACGGATGCTTTTGAAACCAGATACTGGGCTGCTTGGCGGGTTGCAAGGCTCCCTGGTGGGCGTTGGTTGTAGGGAGCGAAGGAGTATGAGTGGTGGTGGCTGGTATAACTGGAGTTGCCAAAGGGCCCGCGGTGGGCGAGTGGTGAGGGTTCAAAAGGCCCGCGACCAGCAGCAGCAGGTGACCTTTGGAGACAGCCGGCTACGTAATGGTTGGGTTCGGGACAGGAATCTCGGGCGCTGAGTTCGTAGGGCCTTTAGGCAGCAACAATGACCAATGGATGTTGACGCTGAGCAGTTGGGCAACGGGGCGCTGTAGTTTGCATGGCAACTTGGCAATGAGGTTTGTGAAGGACAAGAGAGAGTTGGGAAGGGGAAACTGTGAGGCAGAAGTGAGAAAACACCCGCGCTCATGCCCATGCCCCTCCATCCGCGGCGGTGGCTGAATTGTATTAGTAGTACCGGGTAGGAGTTTGAAGTCCTCTCTAACTATGCATAACTGGCCAGGAACTTTCACGAGGACTGTGGCTGAAGAGGTGAGGCTATGCTCATGACCCTGGAGAGTCTATTCCCTTTTTCCCTCTGCCACGTCAGCAACCAGGAGTTTGTAGGAGTTAGGGCACAGTCCTCTATCCTCTATCCGTGTCCAAGGTGCTGTCAACGGGGTTCACCGCCACTTCCAGAGGGCAGCAGGGGAAGGCTGTTACCGGTCAGCCTTGGGCTTTTCCGAGTGTTCGTGTGTGCCTTGGTCCAGCGGCACAGCCTTGCCCCGATGAGCTACATAGCTAAGATGAGGCGGACGGAAGTGGATGTGCTTCGATCCAGCTTCGAGAAACAGAGATCCAGCTTGGCAAGGTCGCCCAGCTCGCCCTATTACCTCGCACCACTCAGGCAAAACAGGGTCCCTGCGCCAGACCATGTACGGAATCCAGCCTCAACGAGTCGAGAATGATTTTCCCTGCAGCAGACAAGTATCTATATATTTCAGATTGACTTGTGCAGGCTCAACTGACCCTGTGACGATCTCTTGAAGACACCCTTGCCACGTGCGGAAATTGGGCTCGAACTGACTTTTTCGACGGGCTTAAATAGACCTCGAATCACGCTTTACAACGCCAACATGGAATATATTTTCGCCAGAGGCAGACACAGGTTGCTTGATCACCGATGCTCCTCACTTTTGAACATCCCCCCTTCCGCATCAACTTGGTCATTTGTCAATGGCCGATTGACCTTTCTTACTCAGAGCAGCATCGACAGGGTTCCGAATATGCCGTAGCGTAGCCGTGGGTGACCAGGCAAAAAAGGCGACAGACCCCGTAGTTAGCCGGCGGTGCAGAAATGCAGCGCCAAGAGTTCTCTTTCTGATTGTCACAGGGTGGAATTGACGGTTGAGAGTCTGCACATGCTGATTGCTGTGATGTACCCCGTAGAGAACGTTTCAACTTGCAAGGGAAGTGTTCTCCGCTGAGTTGGTAGGGATGGCGAGTTGGGAGGGTTGGTGGAGTCGCCGTTTGCTGCCCCGCAGCTGCACGACCGACAAGGCAATCAAGACCCTGACTTTCAATCGGAGTTTTGGTCTGGATCGGATTTCGCATCGTCGGTCATGATGTCACGCCGTGTTCCTGTCAGCTGAGTTGGAAGCCGGGAAGCTTGGGAATCTCTCTCCCACTTGACCAGCCATCAGAGTCTGCCAAGTCCCCAGAAGGTACTGGGTACTCGGTACCTCGTCTTGCATCCCATTGCATTCACTCCATTTCCGCTGCCTTCGTGCCCAGTGTCTCCTTTTCCATTCGCCGATCAGCTACACTTCACCTCCTTCTCCGAACATTTCCAACTTGCAAAAGGTATGCCAGCCTGCTCAGTACACCGATCACTCCCGACACCGCCGTGTGGTCTCTTTTTCCATTCTCTCCCTGCCCGTCCAATTCCCTGCTCCCACGGTATTGCCCACTTCGGCCTTCCTGGTCACCATGGTCAAAACCTTAAAAGCACACGAGCCTGCCGTTGCCGCCTCCTCCAATGTTTGGACTGATCCAATTGGCCTTGTTCGCCCGTGTATGACATTGTGTCCCTGGCCTGGGGGAGCCTGAAGGTAGGCCCCTCTGACGCAGTTCACGGACCATGTCTCCATTCAGGAAGCCTTTCTACAGTAGCTCAAACCACCCGTTGACCCCACCAGTGACTTTTGGGGATCGCCATCTGTTCGTGTATCGGTC